ATCCTTTCGCTTTTATATACGTGAAGTCTGAAAACAGTGACCCTTTTGGGCGGAGCCTCCCGTATAAGCCCTTACAGGGGGTTGCAATTTGTCAGAGTGATCAAAAAGGTCATATTTTGTACTCGAAAATGTAAAAGTATAGAACATCACCAATTTTTGCATTCTAACATGTTCCGTTACTTATTAATTTGTTAATTTGAAAGTCGCAAGTTGTTCATAACGGAGACAGCTAATGAATACAGATCTGACTGTTGGCCTAAATGCTATGCAACATGCAATGATTTAAGGGGTGCAACAGTGTGCAATCTCATATACACTTGTGCCAAGTTCTTCAGAACTAGAACTGTTCCTGTGATCAAATCATTTTTGCAGCATTGTCGAACTAACTAAAACGATAGAAGATGTGGTCGCCAGTTGTATGTCCGCCTCGCATCGGCATTGGAATACGTCCGTAAAAGCCCGGCGAAATTTCTCGCTAAAGAAGCTGTAGATGAAGGGATTGCAGGCCATGGAGCAGACGGCCAGCACAGAGGCGATGTTGATTAGCAGGATGTAGCCATCGGTGGGTTGGAACTCAACGAAACTCGAAACGAGAACTATAACCTGAAACGGGAGCATGCAGACCAAGAACGCTACAATCACTGTCAGAAGCATGTAGGCTGTCTTTCGCCTCTTCTTCTGTCTGTGTACCGTGTAGATGCGGTGCGAGCTGCGCCCTTCATTGCTGGTTGAGCCACTCTCCTCCTCGCTTAGAACTGGTTCCGGTTGCCACAACGTGCGTATGATTATGACGTAGCTTGAGCAGATCACCACTATCGGTATGGCAAACAAAGCAATGAAGGCAACCACTGTGTAAATGCGATTCCCCACCAGTCCCCCTTTGCCAGTCCAATCTTCTTGACAATACTTGAACGGTGGGATGTCTATGATGGTGACTACAAATGCTTGAGGAGCAGAAATGGCACATGACACCAGCCAAGTGAAGACCATCACAGTTAAGGTTCTTCTGTAGGTCGTCCGGGAAGCCCGAACGGCGAAGGGATTTACGATGGCTTGATATCTGAGAGGATATTCAAAGAGTTAATCAAGGCAAGTTTCCCTACCTATGCCCGTTCTTGATCTCGCGAGATTCGATGACGTAGACTACTGAGCAGGCCCTGGTACAGGGATTCAGCCCAGTAGCCCTATACTATTACTAGCCGTCACTAAGAGACTAAGTGACCAAGTTCAAACTAGTAAAACCTATATGGGGAGTGCCAAGAAAAATGAAAAACAAGCACCCTGCCGGACGACGATATTAAAACTCCAAAGTATTCAAGCGGAAGAGATATAATTTTCAGTTTCTCTGAATTTCAGATAGTTAGCAGCTGTACAGTCTGTAAAAGAAATCCTTCTATAAAAGAGATCGTCATACGACCAAGAGCCCATCACCCTAAAACCTCCCATGTTTGATTGCATCATTAAGGAGCATGACTGTTGGCTTCTGCAACTTCACCGATATGCATCACAAAACGAAAAACGCTTATTACGTGGTACAGACCGCGTCAGTGCTTGATCTCTACAGCAATTTTGATGAATATAATTTGGATGTATATTATGGCCTGCCGGGAATAGGAATGTGCAAAATTACGGTTTCTTGAAAAGCAGGCACCATCTAAAGTCTATCAGTTGTTGGGAATAAGTTTACAAACTCAGGTGCCCCTCATCATCTGTCTCATCACTAGTGCCGGTCAAACTAGTGTTTTGCATTTTGCTCCTTTCCGTGAAACTCTACTTCGGCCGAGGCGCCTGGGAGCAAGACGAGATAGGCGGCTTTTGGAGGGGTGGGAGGGGGGGGGGGTAGGGACTCAGCAACGAGGCAAAAAGTAGACCAAAGGAACAAAAGGGAGTTGAACGAAGTACCAAAATGCTGAGGGCCTTGGGATGTAACTCAAAGGCTTCCTAATTCGTGTTATAACTACAGTTCGCTTTTATTTACCTTTCCAAGGCCAGCACAACCATAGTGTAAATAGACACCGACGTCGAAATTGAAGAAATCAGCCCCGATGCTCGACACATGAAACCTCCAAGAGGCCAGTAGTGCGGCGAGATCTCCAACGCTAGCAGCGTTGGTATAGAGATGATTGTGGACAACATGTCCGAGATAGCCATGTTGAGAAGAAATAGGTTTGTCACAGAACGCATGTCTTTTCTCTTGAAGACAACGATACAAACCAGAGCATTGCCTAAAAAAGGAAAACAGCAAGTAAACAAATGAATAATTACTGACTACATAGATATTATTGGCCTATGTATTTCCAGAAATTGAAGATTTTACAAGAAAAGGGAGTTTTACTGAGAAAGAACTGAGCATGATTCAGAAAATTGTTGTCAACCTCGGTTTCTCGAACATTTCAAGACTTTCAACTCCTACTAACGTACCTACCTACCTAGCCTCCCCCCATCCCCGATGCAACCCTGATGTCTTCAGCAGTGGGATGTTTCTTATGAGAAATATCATGGAATGCAAATAGTTAGAAATACTGTTGAAGGCAAACATGAAGACGTTTTTTTTTTTTTTAAAAATAAACCTGAAGTAGCCAAGTTTAATACAAACCGAGGAAAGAAATTTAAAAACGCTGTCGGTCACCAGCTCCACTTGGTGGCGGGGGAGGGGTCAGTGGGGGAGGGGGGTAAATAAAAAATTGTCAGTTGAACAAAGATAGTCAGATTATCGAGGAACCCAAGTACACCTTTGTAACCGCGTCTGCTTGCACGCAAACAAAGACATTGCACAGCCGGTGAAAGTACTGCTCTCAACCTATTTACATATCACCAAGAGAAAACGAGGTAGATCATGATCTCTTGATATCACTGATTGGTTGAAAGTAGGAATAGGGCAACTGATGTTTCTAATTGGACAGGTGAGCAAAATCTTCTCGTTTAGAAAATAAAGTAAACTTTCGTGCAGAAAGAAGCTTTCTAAGGAGCGCCGCTAAATCATTTGAATAGGCTATGTACATTGAAAACACGTTAAAAATTTGGCCACTCTCAGGTGATTAATTTAGGACGGGGTACGACCAAGGTCTTTAAGTGGTAACTTTTCTTCTGGGAATTTGCGACAATTTTTCTTCATTTCAAAGACGTTAAGTTTGTACCAGAACAGTCAAAATCCCGGTAACTGGTTCATCCGGACATTTCTGCTACAACAGTTTCGTTTCCGTGTGTCAGAGTGATCTTTCAGTCTGATTTCTTGTGGCCCGGACACAGCTCAGTGCATCCTCAAACAAACTGAACAATTCGCCGTATTACAATGAGATCAGGAACTGTTGTTCCCTAGCTATTTATTCCTCGAATAAAACGCTAGAATCGATAATGAGATTAACATTTTCAACTTCTTCCTATAAGTAGATATTGTTACTCCATCATTCTTTGCATTCCTAAGTCTCTAACTCCGTGCGCTCGTCTTTGTTTTTACTCACTAATTTGTAGAAACTCCTAAAAACATTTTCTCACTTACCGATGACAGCGACAAGAAAAAGAACACCGTACACTATGGAAAAAGCTGCGACTTTCCCCACTGGGGAAATAGGAACCTGATCTTGACCACTGCCTTTACAATTGTTTTGGAGCTCGGAATCGTCGGGCTGTGTTGAACAGTTTTCGTTGAACATTTCCACCTTTGGAGAGCTCTCTGTCTTTTGCAATAATAGAATGTCTGTTGTCCGATCTATGTCAACTTCCCCGGTGGAAACCAAACTATTTGAAAGTGATTCCCGTGTAAATATTTTCAGAGTTGGTGCTGCAGTGAAACACTAGGGTACAACGCAAAACTGTCTTCACTCACAAGGGGCTGTTCCCGAAACACCACAGAGTAGAAAAATAAGGATAAAACTTGTCGATTTGACCAAACGATGACGCACGCTTTTTATCTCTTACCGCAACATCTTTCCTCCTTTAATGTTTAGTTGCTAAATAGAGATTGAATAGATTTATTGTAATGATTTCATTCTTTTTTACCTCGACTCTATTGTTCTTGGATGTCAAAACAGTTTGCATGCTTCGTTTTGTTTGAATAGAGTGGTCTGTGCAATGACTTTGTCAAAACCAAATCCAAACAACTTCGCCAGCGCAAACTAAGCATTCGACCAACCAGGGTGCTCTACATACAATGAATAATCAGAAAAGCCAATTAAAAAGGCCGCAAAGTGGCATGAAACAACACAAACGTTTTGCACTTTTCCCTGATAATTGGCAAAAACAATGGCTTGGACAAACAAACCTTCACCTCCACAGACTCAATGCTTCATTTATTTAAAGGTTCAGGGTGCTTTACACTCTTTGTCTATATCTGCCGCCTTGCGCATGCTCGCGGGTAAAATTAAAGGAGATGGAAGAAGTCCTATCAGCTTTGTGGGACGTTCTGTTAGCACCTTCATCAAAAGTCAGCTGTCTTGAATAAGGACCTGGTTCCCGCTTGTCTCATTCGTTGCATAATTAAAGTAAACCAAACGGCCGAAAGTTAAGTCAAAAGCTAACTTCATTTATTATTTTGATATAACGAACGATATTCTTTAGCCTGGCCAAAGTTACAGGTAAATGTATAGAATAGAA